GGTATTTTTAGAGAAGAACAAACGAAGACTTAAAATCAGTGAGTAAGAAATAATTAAGTAGCATATAACCACAAAAATGACACCTAACCTAAAAATAAAATGAGAAGAAAATAACAACAAATATAGAAAAATTCCAAACAGCTGAAACTATAGTCAATTGGATTGGATTGGATATTGTCGCGACTGTGAATAATACAGTGCAACGGTATTACGGTACTAAGGGTTGGAACTTCATTACTGGAATGCCAGATGACGTTGAAGTAGCTAGATTTGGAGATTTTTTGACAAACAATTTTTTTATCTTACATGAAGAATAATTGTTTTTTTCAATAAAAAGTATCCCATGTTACTTCTAATACCTCCAAGATCATGTGTACAAAATTTGAGTAGTTTTGGCGTGAAACCATAACAAACAAACTTACATTCGCATTTATAATACTAGTAGAGATAGGGATGTGTTCTTGTTAAAAGATTTATTACAAATGAAGATGAACTTTCACTTATCTAGTGTTATTTTAGAAACTATACTTCATCGAACCACGCAAATTCTTCAGTTCTGATAAATAACCCAATTATCTAACAAAGAAGTTCATCATGCCTGCGAAGATCTCAAAAACCCCAGCCATGCCACTGCACTATTTTCGTCCTTACCTTTCCGATAAATCAAATAAAAACAGCAGATACCTCGTTAATCATTATAATTTGATGTTGATCACGGTAGCAATCTAGACGCAGACGGAATCCTGATAAAATAATAATAACACACGTGCATTTGTGTACAAGCTGTCAGTCAATTTCTTGGCGAGTTACATCAGATTTTTCAGCAAAAGGCCTTAGGCTGTGAAATGCAACTTGTATAGTGCATCTCACCATATTTAGCTTCGGCACGAAAGGAACTCGCAATGGTGAACAAGTCGAATATGTTATCTGAAAAGAGAATACCAAAAGATCAAAAGTCGAACACATAGCTAGTTCCGTTCAAAAGTGTCTGGGGTTTCGTGGTGAGAACATCTCCAACTTTGCTTTAGACGAAATGGATTTTGTAGTTCTTGTTGGCATCATTATGTTGATGCATACTTATTTTGCTTGTGCCCTAGTTGATCCCACCACTGGAGGTGAGTCTTTCTATTTTCATACAAATTTTTTATCAAGAATTTTGATACATTAAATTCAATATAAGGTTCAGGAATTTTCGGCTGCGTTTCCCCATTTTTTAAACAGTTGTTTTGAAACGACTTTCTTTAAAAAGAAAGAATGTGTCACTTTTCACAATGTGAAAAATTTAACTTAGTCCTGTTGTGAATTCAGCTAAAGACACTCTTCAAAATAGTTTTTGAATTTAATTTGTTTTCAATTGAAAATCGATACATAACGAAAAATAATTTTTTAATGGACAATGGCCCTTTATGTCAATCGTAATAGTGACTTTTCGAAACTGTTTATTAGTCTAGCACTATCATGATTTTCTTGACGATGAATTGAATTTTTGCAAGACCTTTATTTTATCATGAAATTCAAACAAAATCGAGAAAATCCCAGGAGGCCATCGTTTCAAGTTAATTGTGTTTTTCATATCCGAATCTGTCACAAGTATAATCTAGAGTACAATAAAATGAAGTATCTTTTTTGATTATTCATTATAAAATTTTCTTAACTGAAAGTAATGAAAATTGGGAACTGTCAAAGCTATTATAAAATAAGCTGGCGCCTTGGTTGTTGATCATGCAATTGTCTACAAAAATAGTGAAATATTTTTTATAGAAGTCACACTTTAAACAAGCGGTATTAAATTCATAATATGTAGTGTGACCAGCGGTGCGCATATCAAATGTGTGTGTGTTGAATGACTTTATTCGCAATTTAACTTTGGCATCAATTTCTGTTTCTGTTCAGTGAGATGCAAAATAACCAGAAATATCACTCAAAATAGTCGGTCACAAAATGCAAACAGAGGTATGAAAATTCGGTCTATCAAAATTAATTTGTTTCTGGTCTGTATAAGGTAAATAAAATAAATATCTATTTTTGAAAAGGTATTTTCTGTCTAAAATTAATACACATCAACATTAAGAAAATTGTTTAGTTGAAAGAAGTCAAATTTTATGAAAAACATCATGTTATAAAAATTAAATGCATTTAAAGTGCCCCCCTTTTAATTATCAACAATATATTTTGGCATTTGCATATCAAATCACAAATAAGTAAAAAAAACCTAATGCAGATTACGTGCTTCTTTGGCTTACTTTTGATGAAAATCCATGATATCGTCTTTAGGTACTAATAATTCATGAGATTTTTATCAAACATTTTACCCACCCGCATCACGCGTGTTACTATACCATAATTCGTTGGGTGTGTTTTGTGTATGTGAAACACGTGTTGGGGGTTCAGTCGGAGCTGAAGCTTTCGAATGTACTAGTATACTAGTTCGGTACCATTTTCTTTTTTCTAAGCCTGTTTCCAATTTGTATTTTGAATGATTTGTTCTGCTAATATGTGCATTTTCGTTAACCAGTTGTCGCCTCCTTGCAAAAGACAATCCTACGAAGTCGAAACTTGTTCGAGCTTAGGATCAACGAGGTTTTACCTTTAAAGGTGTGATTTCCAGCACGATGATGTACTGAGATACAGCTATCTACAAGTTTCTGAAAAACTTAGGGCATTTTTGTTTTAAAAGATCCTCATCACCTAATAAGTAAACCTCTCGTTTTTCCACCTGTATAAAACTACGTAATGTTCTACACGAATCTTGAAATGTTGGATCCTTTTTTTGTAGTTTCTCTCAAGCATATAATTCGATTCAAAAAGGCGTACTTTCCTTCTGAAAAACATTTAACAACCCAGAAATGCGACTTGCGCTCGTAAACTGGGACACGAGCAGTGGTGTTACATAGTGAATGTTGAAATGATTTATTTTGTTGTACATATTTCAAAAACATATTTGTTTTGAATTTGAAGTATGTAACTGTGTTGCTACGGGTTAGCACATTAATCAAATAAATCGTATTTTGGAGTTCTGAGCACCAATTCACATAGAACGAACGCCATCAGAGACGAGGTACGGTTGTGGCACAGTTCGTCTCTACCCGACGTTCGTTTTGTGTGAATCGGCGCTGAGAATGAGAAAATCTCAGTGTGTCCTTCCAAAAGATAGAATAATGAAAGTGAATACTACTGTTACGACTCTATGCCTTAAACTGCCAACTACGATCTGCCTTGTACTGTCCTAATCCCGAGTAGAGGGAATTGGATCCTCTGAGAAGAGGAAATACTAAGAGCGGGTTGGTTCACACGTGGATCAAAAACACTTTCCGGTGCAGGTGTTTACAGTTTCAACCCAGGGCAGAAATATCAACCTGTCTAAGGACCTATGCGACTGTATTTCAAGCAAAAATACGCCATTGATTTGTGTATGGAGAGATTGGAAGAAGTCAGCCTCATACATAAATCAATAACAATATTCTAGGACAACCAAAAGGCCTAGGAAGAACTTGGCTGTCAACAAGCAACGTCCAAATTAGTAGTGAACTGCCGAAAAAACTCTCCTCAATAGGAATACTTACCCAATTGTTTCTCGTGTGGATTCTGGCTACGTTGACCTGTAGGGGAATGAACCTGCTGACTTCCTAGCAAGGAAGGGCGCTGCAAGTCCTGCAACGGACCAGAACCTGACTTTGGCTTTGCCAAACAATAACTTACAGCTGGAGTTTCAAACTTCCGGCAGAATCTATCAGGGTTGATTCATTACAAGACATTTATATGTTGGGCTACAGCAGAGATAAACTCATTTTTTAACAGGTCTTGTTACGGGTTATTGTAGTCTCAATCATCATATACAGAGACTTGGACTGTCGAAAGGCGTTCTTTTTGCCTGGCTCGCCGTGGACCCAATCATGTTGTCACTAAATTCTCAACCGGCTTCATCAGCTTGTTTTGATTGGAGGAGTTTGAACAGGCGTGACATCATTGTTTACACACATACAACCATGTATTCAAGAAATTGTGTTCATTCTATTAGGATGCCTAATGTCGTCGTAGCACGTGTATGGATGTCGTTGTTAGCCTATATTACTTAGAAGATAGAACAAAAGTTTATTAGTTTCAATTTTCCAGAAAACATGAGGCCTCGTGAGCCTAATGCAATTTTTCCCATTTGTTTCTCGATTTGTTGGATGTTGTCTTTCTTGACTTCCTTAAGGTTATTCGTTTAAAAGTGCGTATTCACTAGAAAAGCGAGCATTCGTGTATGTTTGCTCGTGTTCGCTCATGTTTGCTCGACATATTGATGTCTCGTCTACACCAGAGCGAATATCTTCAAGTTCTTAGTCGTAGTTGATCCATCTACTTTTTGCGAGCACCTTTGGATGTACCGCCTTCTTCTCGATCTTTTTTGAACGCGAACCCAAGTCAAAACATGGCCATAAGTACTGCTCCCTGGTCATTCATGTTTATTTCCGATTATGTGGAATTTTTAATTGGTTTTTACCGTAATCCATAGTCTCACCTATATTTTTGGTCTATTCTTCCTCATTCGTTGAAGTAACCCAACATTTCATTTCTTTGAATGGAAAATAGGAAAAAAAAAACAAAATAATCCAATATTCCACGATGTAACCACGGTGCCAAATAAAAACATATTTTGTTGAAAAAGCAAATGCATTGTAAACATTCAGTATAGATTCCGGATAAATAATATTTTTGTTATTGCATGGAAACATGATTTCAACATTTCTTTCTTTCGATCTATAAATAGTTTCATCCCAAATAAAATTCGATATTTCGGTGAACGGTTCTTGTTGCATAGCAGTTGCACATTGTTGATGATTTATGTTTATGTACCAGTTACAATTGATTGAAAATAGATAGTTAAAACAGATTGCAAAGTTTCCGATACTTTGATGAAGATATCATTCTCCTAAAAATACTTCTGAATGGAAAGTTTTTGATCCCCGAAGGTCTTTGACATTATTGGGTTTTAATTATGATTTATATGAGTTTTAATGTAAGCAAGATAATTCGGAGAAGCTAATAAAAGTTACGAGGGTGGTTCAAAAAATGAGGTGAATGTTCAAATTTCGCGGGCTATGTACATTCGATTAGCGATTTTTTTATGCTGTTTAGCGTGTTTAGTTTGTTGGTGAGAGGCATAAAGTTAGTGTTTTGCGTGTTGGACGATTTTCTGCTATCGAAAAGAATCGATCAAAGAATGTGCATCAAATTTTGTGTGAAAAATGGAATTGAGTACTCAAAAACACTTGAAATGTTGACAGTGAAATGTAATCTGAGTCAGAAAAATGTTCACAAGTGGTAAAAGCTATTCACAGAAGATCCAGATGTAAATGACGACGATCGTCCTGGAGACCCCAGCACATCAACAATCGATGAAAATTTTGGGAAAGTGGTGAAAATTGTTATGAAGAATTATCGAATCACTATTGAAGAAGTTGCTGAGGATGTCGGCATATCGGGTGGCTCATGTAATGCAGTTTTTTCGGAAATTTTGGGCATGAAGCGTGTGGCAGCGAATTTCGTTCCAAAATTGTTGAATTTTTCCAAAAAAAATCGTCGCATGAGCGACGGTTCAGGAAATGTTGAATGACGTCAATGGCGACTCAGATTTGCTCAAAAGGGTCATAACTGTTGTCGAATCATGGGTATACGGTTATGACGTCGGAACCAAAGTCCAACCGTCCCAATGGAAGAGCCCAGGATAGCCGAAACCAAATAAATCACGCCAGATTCGATCAGATGTCAAAGTTTTGCTCACTGTTTTCTTCGATTACATAGCATAGCATAGTGGTCGAACGGTCAGTAAGAAGTATTATCTTAAGTTATGTGCCGCTTGCAAAAAGCAATATGAAAAAATCGTTCGGTATTGTGGAAAAACAATGGCTTTCGCATCATGATAATGCGCCTGCTCACTCGGCATTGCTTGTTCGTATCTTTTTGGCCATAAACCACACTGTAATCATGCCTCAGTCACTGTATTCACCAGATTTGCCCCCCTGCGACTTTTCATGTTCCCAAGATTGAGGAGACCTATGAAAGGACTGCGACGTTTTGCGACGATTGAGGAGATGAAAACAGAATCGCCAAGAGAGCTCAAGGACATACCAAAAAGTGCGTCTGAACTGCTTCGAGAATTGAAAAAAACGCTGACACCAGTACATTATCTCTGAGAGGGGCCACTTTGAAGGGAAAAAAAAATAAATTGATGAATAAATGAATATTTCTTGGTAAAAAAGTAAATTCACCTAATTTTTTTAATGAATTTTTTTCTGAATGGGACGCAACAGGGGCTTATAGAAATCCACGTGTAGAGGTTTTGTAAACTGTCAAGTGGAAATCAAACATTAAAGTATGTTTTTTAAATACGTTAAAGGCTACAAACATTAGTTACATTTATTCACTTAATATTTTTGTTTGACTTCATTGGTAATGGAAGTGTTTTCATTTGTTTCTTATTAATTTCCCATGATCTGTCACTGGCGTTTGATAAACTCCTTCATTTTCTAATCATTATCAGTGTAGGAAGTAACGAACGAAGATGTACTACTTTATTGAATTGAAAAGAAGGTCTTGAAGGTCACATGTGTTTTAGAAGAAGTCATGTAAATATTGATGTTTTATGATCTGATTGTGAAATCTTTGGAACGCTGTCTAGGTCAAAGTTTGAACGATCTCTTGGCAATAGTGATTTATTAATTTATTGCGTATGTCGTCTATGTTTGTTATACATTCTAGGCCCCGTGGCATTTTTTCATGATAGGCGTTTTTGTTTTTGTATTCCAATTAATTTGGCAATGTTTGTATTGGTATTTTGTTGAATTTTGTGATAGCACAATTGGTTTCTGATTGTTGTCAATCGAACACGAGATGAAATATTTCTTATCTTGTCCAAATAAATAATTTACAGGCCGCGTGTATAAATGTTTCAAATAAAGATGTATTTATTATTGGTCCGAAACTATTAGACTCTCCCTTCCTTGAAGGTGCATAAAATTGTATTTGTTTTTTATATGTAGTTGGCATGGTAGGTATTTATCAATAATTGCTTTACTTGTTTGTTTACACTGAAGGACTTGGAATATGCTTGTAATAAACAAATGAACATAAAATAGGCTCAATTTCCCTTTTTTTATTCCAAAATTAAATCGGCACATAACTTGAAGAATGTTGTCGAAAAAGGGATAAGGATTTGTGTTATAGACGGAAAGAAAATCTCTGAGCTGATTCGATCCTTCAGAAGAGTCTCAAAGAAGCGGTTCAACTAAAGGGGGCATTACGTCACCAGATATACGACATAAGAAGCCGGTTAAAAGTCGCCATTAGGTTTCAGACGTTTCTGTGTCGGCGCTGTTATAGTTCAGTTGTTTTTTGCCTGTTTGTTTTCATATTCTTATATTGTGGAAGTATGGAAGAAGAAAAAGTCTCAGAAAAGTTTTGTATAATTGTATTATGAGTGTATTGTTTGTAATAATAGGTATAATAATACCTATGCGAAAAAATAAGTTCTCTGAATGAAAGTGTTGTTGTTGTTGTGAGGATCATTTTCATTTTTTTCGAAGTAATGATAAAATTAATCCATTCATGAACAAGGTAGAAAAACCTCATTTATTACCTATACATGCCAATACACTTAAAATATATATTTCATTTGTATTTCTCATTGCTGCAAAAATCATTAAATTAAATGAGGAACTGTAAAAACATAAATGTATTTAATTGAATGTCCAAGAACATTAAGAATAATTATAAGTCGGTATAGTCTATTCATTTTTGCTTGAAATTTGTTCATGTAATAATGTATAAAATAATAATAAAATTGCATTTAATTGAAACATCATTTCATTTCAGCTATACCGGACGGTATTAAGAATTTTATGTGCCTACAAGTTATAAAAAATGTGCCATGGGACTGAAACCTGGTGTGGTACCACACATTTTCGATTTCTCGAAAACTTGCACTCATTTACAAAGCGTCAAACCAAGACCTTTAATTGAAAAAAGGTTTTGTATAGTCAAGGAAAATTCAAATTTTAGTTTGGTAAACGTTATGCTAACTAAATCATCATATATATTTCTAAATACTTGATAAATCTCATCAAACTCATCTTTAAAATTTGATTTGTCTCTTTCCACTACGAACGAAGTTCTTATTTCTAAAGAAATATGGCATAACCACAAATAAGCCCACCCGTGAAAAATTATTTGATTTTGCCTTATTGAAAATTTCCTGGACCGAATACATCTTCATTCAAACCTGAAACATCAACTGCTTTGCTTCATAACACTTCATACGTGGTTCAGACGCTGTACCGACAATATTGTATATCTCGTGTCGTCACACTAGCTTTCGACAAACGCGCAGTCGCGTTTCTTGATAACGGTAAATGCTATCGATTCGAAATTTTGACACCCTGGTTCCATTTATACTATGTATGAAACAGCATTGGTTGTTACAATACAAGCACACAGTGACTAGTTTACCACTTACAGCCTTCAGCGAAGGCAAGAAAAACCAATATTGGTAATTCCTCGAACTCTAACAAAAAGTGCGGTGAATAGTCAAATAGTACTCTGCGAACGATGTAAAGAATCATGACAATTTCCTTAAAATCTAATATATTATTCATGTCAAGAAACTACTTGAAAATGTTGAGAATTCGGAGATTCTAAAACCTTTTATTTGTTGAAGTGAATGTAATTTATGTTTTTGTTTCAGCAAATGTCACCTGCACGAATGATCAATTCAAGTGCAATACTGGCAAATGCATACCAAAACATTGGCAATGTGATAATGATAAAGACTGTAATGATGGTAGCGATGAAGATGAATTGTTATGCCGTAAGTAGGAACCAAATTTGATTATAATTGATTTACTTTCTGTATGACAGTTTTTTGCAAAAACCCTAAGTAAAACGGACATGCGTCATAAATTTCTTGCGTTAAAACGGCTTGTTTGTTTGCAGTTTGAAATAATTGTATATTCTGCAACAGACTGGCAGTTACGACTGCTCATTACCTATTATTCTCAATATGGTATAATACTTGCTTTCTACTCGTGCATGTTTTTGCACTACCTGATTTCTCCTAGAAATAGAGTTTATTAGTACAGGGTTTGAGTGTAATAAGAATGAATGAACTTGTTTTTTGATACTTATCTGCAAAATCGATAAGAAGACTAATTCAATAACAGGTTATGATTAGTTACTTTCAATCATTTACAAAATCGTTCTTCGACAATTGTCATCTTCATGCTGAAGACAGTCCTCAAAACTCGAAACGTCTGCCAATTACCAACACATGTTAAAATCTGTTAGAATTTTCCGTTAATTAAAAAAAATATCTGGTTTCTTCAGGATGTCGGTCATATATTCATATTATAGGATTGTATAAACTAGTTTTCAGATATATTCCTTGCAATTTTATATTAAGTGTGTCATTAAATAATTTCATCGCATCTATTCTTATCTAATCTTATCAATACTGGTAAATCTCATTTCTTGTTATTTTTCTTACAATAGGAACATTTGTTACACGTCTGCTATTATTTTCTTCTATATCCATCAATTATTTTGCCAATTGAAAATATTCTGTCGGTTTGTATCAGCTCGATTATGCTCCTTCGACATAAAAGGACTCGCCCCACATTTATATGTTCGAGATACAGAAAGGTACCTTTTCCTCTTATCTCTCGTGTGTTTTTCGTCATTTATTCTGATCGTAATATTTCTGTTTCAATGACTCATTGGCGGGTCATTTTTGTTCGATCACTTTATTTGTGACTATCACTTATCAAGATCCGTTGAATGGTAGCTCATCAGGTTTTTGTTTTCCTTCTACTCCTGGGTATCCTAGCACTCAATAAAGACTAAATCTATTGCTTTCTGCTAATTCATGGTATTCTCAGATTATTCTCAGATGATTCTCCATTGCCCCGAGTGTACTCTGGCTGTCTGTAAGAATATCTAATGCCTCAAATCAATATTTTCAAAATGCAAGCTTGCCTTCACCTGTAACGCGAATGTGTATTGACGAAGTGACTAGCTAATGTAAATCTCTTCTGCACAGTATACTACTCCAGGCCCTGTTCCATGTTCTCTTTTCGACCCGTATATATACCAGATGTTTCTTCTAAGCACTGAAGTATGCTGTGCCATATCGTCCAGTGCAATCCCGTTGCATCTATTGCCACCTCCGTTATGACAATATTTCAGGGAGAAAGATTTAAGAGTATCTCCAAGGCTGCTGTTGGTGTGGTTTTCACTGTTCGTATTATTCCTAAACAAGCAATTCTTTGAAACATGTTTCGTCTGTGAATAACAATAGCATGTTTCATCTTTGGCCACCATTTCACAGCGTTGCGCATGGCTAATAGATCAAGTCTTGTTTCAGTTTCAATTTCCGAAGTGTTTTGATAGGTGCCTCTTGCCAACATCAGGGCTAGGTCAGGCTGGGATCTAATATTATTTTCAGATATTCAACCCTCCTCTACAATAGTATATCTTCACATCGGAGTGTTAGATTCCTAGTCCCTCCATCTTGGTCGTCTTGGTGAATGCTGTTATGGTCTATTTGGATGGGTCTATGTTGAGCCCTTTTTTCCTTGGATCATCTTGTTACAATATTCAGAGCCTGAATGTTAAAAGTGCGTTATGCGTTCTTATCTATTGTTACGTTTTCCCCGTGGTTATGACAATAATTGACTACGCTAAACTCAACTTTATTTCTATTTCACTGCTACACTGACAATACAACACAAACAATGTAATTGAAACTTCAGACTAATACTCAAATGTCTTTCGCCTTATCAGACCACTTCGTAACGCACTTTCAACTAGACTTGCCACATCTGCATGTTTGTAGTGTTTATATATCGTGATGGAAGTCTCTGGAAGCGATGCGACATCCAACACGAGCGCGAAGCGCAAGTTGAGTTGAGCACGATTTTGGCCAAGTCACAGTCAATTGACGAAGGCCAGCGGCGGCTGGCATTATTTTGGTTCAGGGGATAATTTAAAACACTATCTTTGATATACACTCATGAGCTTTATTCTACGAACCTGCTATCAATCCTAAATTCTTCTGCTAATGTGTTTTGTTATGGTATTTTCAGTTTATCTCTTAGTCTTGGGTTAGATGTTTTTCTCTTCGTCACCTTTGTCATTATCTACAATTATGTATCGTTCAGAAATGTGGCTATAACCACTAAAAGCTAACAGTTTCATTTACCAGATCTTGTACACATTTTAAGAATATATGTTGTTCCAAGCCAGTTTGTCTTGAATTGAACAGTTTTTTGTAGACATGTGCTTTTGTGTTTCAGAAAAAAAAGTCTGTAATTTAGATGAATTTACCTGCAAATCTGCTCCTGGAGAGTGTGTCCCTCTTACCTGGATGTGCGATGATAATTCTGATTGCTCAGATGGTAGTGATGAAAAATCGTGTAGTAAGTAATAAATACACCGCTAAAATTTATATGAGGAATCTCATGAACTAATCACGTGAGTTTGAGTGGTCAGTCATTTTCTAATTTTGTTTCAAGTTCATATTTGAGTGAAAATGTTCTCATTTGGCAATGATAGGCACAGAATATTAAAAGTAATACCGAGAGGTAGATGTGAATCAAACAACAGAATGAGACGTCTTCACGTAACCTACAAACTCTAGCTGATCAAATTAAAAACGTGTCAACTGAAAGCGAATTGATGACAACATAAAAATGTAAATCTCATACTATTGTGAAAAAAAAAGCTAGCCATTGAAATACCGCGATTTTTATTCAGATAGCGTCTGTTCATGCTCTAACCAATAATACTTTCGAAATGTTTTTCAGATGAAACTTGCCGATCGGATGAATTTACATGTAAGAACGGGAAATGCATACAAAAACGATGGGTTTGCGACGTGGATAATGACTGCGGGGACAATTCCGATGAGGAAAATTGTCCGGATGTTAGTTGTGCTACCGAATTTCAATGTTCCGAAAAGTTTTGTATTGCTGCCAAATGGAAATGCGATGGAGAATATGATTGTATTGATGGAAAAGATGAACAGGTGATTACGGTTTAACGATGCTGATTGGGAACGTGGAGTGTTGATATTTTTTAGCGTTAACAGGGATTTTGTAATATGTTTCGGAGTTTTGTAGGAATTCGATAATCAATTTAAAAATCATAGTTGCTTTTTATTCCAAAAATATTATGGGACTGACGATATTTGATGAAAATCCATTATAACGTATTCAAAAAACATTTTAATGGGAGATTTTCACTTGAAATGATTTTTGTTCGTTTGTCGCACTAAATACATTTCATCATTGAGTTATTATCTGTTGATAGATACGTATACTCTGGTTCACAAGTGCCATTTCGAATTTCGCCTTTACGGAAATATATAATTGAGATATTATTCTATATCTCTTCACCCAGAGCAACTTACGATTTGAGCAAAGTTAGGCAAAAATCAGTACAACAAATTTTGTAAACTTCACTCGTGAAAAACACCTTAGACGGGGTGACAAAGAAAGCTAAGTAATAAAATAGTATTTTTTCGATCATCCATTTTATTTTTAGGTAACATTTGTGAATCCGACAAGTTACTAATTGGACTTTTTAGTAGTTTATATTATGCAGTATCTTTTCGGGCAGAACTTTATAGTTTGCCCTGTATTAGTAGATTTTCTATTGATTAGCTATGTTTATTGGAAAGTTACATACCAAAAAACAGTAACATGTGAGCCCAATATTACTGATTATATATATTTTAGCAAATTATTACAAAAGTCTAGGTTTATAATGTATATCCTTATATCCTTTGAAACTAGTAAATAAGTAAATAGCAAAAAAAAATAAAACAACAAAAAATTCAATGAACATATACAATGCTTCTGATTTGGCAAATGAATGATAGGAGCAACTATTCAATATCTTACTGGTAATGGAACTCAGAAAAATATTTTCATGATCGACAAATAGTTTGAAAACATATTCTCTACTAGATACAATCTATTTTTTAGGGTTGTCCGAAACCGAAGACTAAAATTTCATTCTGCCTTCCGGAGGAGTTTGAATGTGGTGACATGCTCACTTGTATCCATAAAAGCTGGCTTTGCGATGGAAGTAAAGACTGCGCAGACGGTTCCGATGAAGCACCACATTTCTGCCAGAATGTCACTTGCCGAGTTGATCAATTTCAGTGCAAAGATCATTTATGCATACCTGGACATTTTCATTGTGATGGTCATCAAGAATGTCCAGATGGTAGCGATGAAGAAAATTGTGGTGAGTAATCTATAATAAAAAGTACATTGATTTAAATCTATAACAACGTTTTTAATTGTTATTTGTATTGCATTGAAACCTTTTTCTAATATTCTTATACCAGATTGAAAGGAATCCAAATATCTTTACTGTTGATGATTTCAGTGTCACTGAAAAGCATGTTCAAAGATTCACCATGGGTTATACATTTTTTTTTTCAATTTCAAATTTATATATAATGTTTATCAGAAAATACTCCCAAAAAAATTAAAACAAGCAAATTTGACTAGTTAAAAATACATTTATTAGTACTTGATTCAGTTGACATGTTTATCAACTCTATTAAACTTCCTAAAAATTTAGTTTTGGTCATAAAGTTTGCAACATATTCATCAAAAATAGTTGGTACTTGAGAAATGATGCTCTATGTTCAAAATGGAAGTGATCACGGAATGTGCAACAAGTTGTTTCTCAACAAGTTCTATTGTATCTGCTATTTTTGATAAGGAATATTTTTATTTTCAATACTTTCTCGCTTGGTGTAGTAAGATTTGGTTCAAGTCTTTTTTTAAAGATATTATTGAAATGCACTAAACATTTTTCAGTATTCAGAGTTCGGCTTGTTTGACCAATTTTACTACGACCTTATACTTCAAACACAACTTTGAAAAATCTGATGTTTGTATATTTATTTCAGTTTGTAGTTTCAAAGACCTGAAATTAAAATTATCATCACCAAAAAAAAATATATTGATGTGGTCTATTCTTCCCATTTGAGTAGTCATTTGTGTAAAGGAAAAATGTAACGGTTCCAAGACTGAATCCTGTAGAACTCGCAATTCCTTTTAATATACTTTTGATGCACTGTTTGGAACCTTTGGTGTAGTATTAAATATTAGGTACTGGAGTTTAGTTCCAACACCAAACCAATATTTTTAACACCTGGACACGTGTTTTGATCACCAAGTGATCATCTTCAAGAGGAAGATTAAACTTCCTTGAAACACGTGTCTTGGTGTTAAAAATAACGGTTTGGTGTTAGGACTAAACTCCAGTAATATTTATTTCTTCATATATGTCCGAACTCGCATTGTTCTATTTCACATACATTTTTCGGAATCCCATATATGAATTTTTTGAATATTTTTCTGGGAAAGTGGAAGCTACAGAGAGAGACAGAAGGCAACTTCTCGTTGGCTTTGCAAAAGATCGCCATAACAACACTTTTTTATCTGGGAAAAGTAAGTTTTTCTTCAATCCCATAGGCGCTATCAAAAGCAATTATTGCTCAGAATGAAGTTCATAGAGATTTATTGTAGTCCTTACTTTCAGATGCACCAGCACCTAAATGTGATCCGAAAACTCAATTCGACTGTGGAGGTGGACAATGCATCCCATTTTCTCAAGTTTGCGACAGTCGTCAAGATTGTCCCAATTGGGAGGATGAACCAAAGGACAAATGTGGAATAAATGAATGCTACACCAATAATGGAGGTTGCACTCAGAAATGCATCGACACACCTGGATCTTTTTATTGTGACTGTGACCACGGATATAAGCTAATTGATAATAGAACTTGTAAAGGTAAGAAATACAATAATTTTACCCTGTTATCAGTATATCAAAAATTCTTGACTATAACCTTCTGGTTTAGTCATTGATTTGATTGTTTTTTTTTTATTGAACTCTTTCTGGGTGAGAATTTATGGTGTTATTCTGAAAATACCACTGACACTATCAATCAGAATCAGAAGTAATTTTTTTATGATATTTTCATGCCACATGAGCATGATATAACATGAGTAATTGTTCACATGTGAGTACTTCTCTGAACTGTCGAAACACAAAACGAAGAGAATTTAACTTTCTAATCAGATTATTACAGTGAGATTTCCAGTTTACGCAATCATCAATTGTGATGCCTAAAAATGTTGCTTTCTCAGTGTAACTTAATTTTTTATTGCCAACACTAACTGTTATATTACAAATATTTTCCTGAACGTGATGATACCTCATAATATGTGTTTTCTCAGTATTAAAGAAAAGTGAGTTTGCGCTACACCATGAAGTTATGTTACTCAATAATCGCTCACACTCCTCAGCAATAATATCATCTGCTTTATTCGAGATCAGTATGGATGGATCATCCGCGTAAATAACAGTGTGCATCTTCAGCTAAAGTGTCAATTTCGTTGATATAAAAAAGTAACAGAATGGGCCAAAGTACTGAGCCTTGGGAAACTCCCATATTTATATCAAGAATGTTTGAGTCAGCCGCTGTAGACTGTTCATCATTAGTCTTAATACTGACATATTGTTGACGATTACTCACAAAAGACATTATCCAATCAAGAGCATAGATGCCATAGGAATATAGTTTAGAAAATAGAATATCATGCTGAACGCAGTCAAACGCCCTGCTGAAATCACAAAAGATTCCAACCGGGTATTCCCCGGCCTCCAAAAAATGAATAACCTCTTTGTAAAATGCTAAGGTGGCACTGTTAGTCGACTTCATTTAGCAAAATCCATGTTGATAATGGTCGCATGTAAAAACATAAAACGCCAACCCTCGTTTTCTGCATACATGACAATTAAGTACAAAGGGTTATTTTTTACCCACAAAAATATTTGCACATATCCATAAAGACCAAAAAGTCGGGTTAAATTAAAGTAATTTTAACTTATTATCGACCCTTTCTCCATTATTAAATACATTCTTAAACAAATTTGATGAACCATAGTGAAAGAATAAGGAAAAGAGATTAATATTCTCGAGCTACAAATTTAATTGTGATATCTACCTTTATATGCACATGCTATTTTCAGATATAGACGAATGTGAAATTCCTGGCAGCTGCTCTCAGCTATGTATAAATGAAAAAGGAGGATTCAAATGCGAATGCGAAACTGGTTATATGAGAGACCCAAGAGATCTAACTAAATGCAAATCCATCGAAGGCCATGCTTCACTGTTGTTTGCTCGTCGTAGGGATGTTCGAAAAATATCCCTTGACCATCACGAAATGACCAGCATCGTCAATGAAACTAATTCAGCAACGGCGTTAGACTTTGTGTTCCGGACAGGAATGATATTTTGGAGTGATGTAACAGATAAGAAAATATACAAAGCTCCCATTGATGAGGGTAACGAGAGAACAACAGTCATTTCAAATGATATCACCACATCAGATGGGTTAGCTGTTGACTGGATTTATAACCATATTTATTGGACGGATACAGGCAAAAACACCATAGAACTTGCTAATTTTGATGGGAAGATGCGGAAAGTGTTGATTAAGGATGCACTTGAGGAGCCCAGAGCTATTGCTTTGAATCCAATGGAAGGTTGGATGTTCTGGACAGACTGGGGTAGCGAACCTAAAATTGAAAGGTCAGGCATGGACGGTTCTCATCGGCAAACTATCGTTAACTATGATGTTAAGTGGCCTAACGGTCTTACTCTGGATCTAGTTAAGAAACAGATATACTGGGTTGATGCTAAGTTGAACACCATCTCTTCGTGTGAATACAATGGACGAAATCGAAGAGTTATACTCTTCTCGCCTGATAAATTGAGACATCCGTTTTCTATTACAACTTTTGAAGACTGGGTATACTGGACGGATTGGGATAAAGCAGCTGTGTACAGAGCGAATAAATTCACTGGTCAGGATGTCAAAGCCATTACAGCTACTGAAATGGTAAAAAATACAACATTGAAATAAAATACGTCTAGGTTATGTTATTTTTAGATTCAAAATCCTATGGTTATTCACGTGTATCATCCTTACCGACAGCCGGATGGCGAGAATCACTGCCAAGCAGTGAATGGCCACTGCTCTCATCTGTGCCTACCTGCACCACAGATCAATAAAATGTCGCCAAAGATTTCTTGTTCCTGTCCCGAGACACTCAGGATGTTGGACGATGGTCTGACCTGCGTGCAAGATGGTGAGTCAGTTACTATATTTTCATTTTTGCTTTTGGATGATTTTTCTATTTTCTTTGATTGTTATTTTTTGCATTTACTTATTTGTTTTCACGTCAGCTGATTCCCGGAAAAACAGATTTTAAACAGATTTTCACGTCATGACCCTACAGTGTAGGGCCTACCGAGTATAATATGAGCGCTGTTGAAAAAATAATGTTGAAACTGCTCTATAGAAAAGATATTTATTCATTTTTGAAACTTACATGCTCTTTTACAAAGTAATAACCCCCTTGAATCTAATTCACTTCTCCTATTGTGAACTGAATATTTTACTCCTAGAACATAAACTAGTCAAAGGAGCAAACAAACAATTCAACTTGAATTTGGAAAATCAACAAAGTTGCAGTTCTTCAGGGTTGACAATAGCCCAGAGCCCTTGGCTATTATATATTTGAATAAAATATTAGGCAGCTATCCTCTAGTGTGTTTCTGCTTCAGGCATGTTAATTACTTCATGAATTCATGTGTTTCTATTAGTTTATTGCGGATAATCAGAGATGTTCAAGATTGTTTGTTTGTTTAGGCAGTCTCTGGCTCAAATTCAAATATACAAAGAGCATTTCATATATCAGCGTGCAATAAAAGGAGGGTCTGAAAATGTATTGAAGCTATGAATTGAAAAGTAAAGTATTTTTCACGAATACCACATCGCTATATTCAACAATAGGTACCTAACAAAACATGTTCAGTATCTCATTGCGATTATGGGAGTTGAAAATTTTTATATCTCTGATTTTTTGCGACACCATGAGAGTTCTTTTATTGATAAAAATCCAATATTCAGAACTTGAATAAAAAGTAATATCAATAATTTTTTTGGAGTCTGTATTCATAGTTGAACTATTCACATTCGAACTTGGGATTCATTGGAGTTAGGATTATGAGATTTATGAGATAGTTATGAAACTCGCCATTTTTGATATATCACTACAGGAGCCACAAGTTACCTCATAATTTCTAATCTTCATCAAAAAGATTTTTGTTATAATAGCATCAAGTCGATCTTCATAGTAATAATTTTGTGATGATTTAACTCTAACCTAAATAAATTCAACTCAGTTTGAACCCAATCTGGATTTATCTTGAAAGAAGAAAATTCACCTAAATATTTATGCCAACCTTCTGCAATTTGAAGGATAGGAATCTCTTTTCATATTGAAAGATCTATTGAATGAAAACTTTGCTTTCTCGTTTCATTGGTTTTGTGTTACATTTTTTTATTTTGGTTACATTATGATAAAGAATGGAAGGTGGATGTACCTATAAGTTTTAGTAATCGATCCATAGTGACAGACTTTCTAACAATGAGAATCCCTAACAACGAAAATGCTCTTTTCTTTTCAAGGAAAGTCACAAATATATTGTCTACTCATAGAAAGTGAAGGCTCCTTAATTCATTTTACCATGGTGTATGTGAAAACTCTTGAGTTTAACTCAAGATGGTCTGATGATAAATCTTGGCTCTGCGCAAATATCACACCAAAGTCTTATCCATTTTGAATTAGTCAAAAAATCTAGGCAGTCCTAGTTAGATTGTTCGTATTCTCTAATGATTTCTTCTGCTATATTGCTTGAAATCAGAGCAACTCCATTCACTGGCCTTTTGACCCTTTAATGAGTATTGAATATTTAAACATTGATTATAGTCTTATATAATACGACACAAATAAAAAATCATTGATACAGTTTATTGTATGATTTTCACTATAAAATCATGAGTTCTATTCAACGACACAAATATTTATGAACTGATTGAAACTCTAAATGATACCGAAAAAAAGGAACAGCTGGATATGATGAAATATCTTCAAAGATTCTGCTCAATCCAATCTCCCAGCTAGTGCACCAAAAGCCAGGTTTATTAATTAACTCTTTTTTTGAGAACTGGATAATAATTATCTTCTCTGAAGACTTCCATTGTTATTCCTTTACTAAAAATGAGACTGGATTGGATAGTCCTTCCAATCTGTGATTTCAACTACTTCGAATATTATTGAAAAACTTGTTGAGAAATGAATTCTTTAAGTTTTCAAACTGAGAAAAGTATTCATGATGCAATTTTCTCTTTCCGGAAATGTATTCAAATACAAATGCTGGCGAAGTGCCTGTTTAACAAACTCTACCGTTATGGGTGCAGAGAAATTACTTATAGATGTTTTGAGTCACATATTTGATATCATTTAAATGCTTGTTTTGTGGAGATCAAGCTTTATGAAGGATCATTCTGTATTCATAAAGATTTTTTGTATCTAAATAATTTTTGCAGTCATTACTTTACCAAATTTAAAATCAAAAATATTGTATCTCTACTCTCGAATCCCAATATCATGCCAGCTAAGACTGGGTATTTTAAAGTCATTTTGTAGTGCCACTGTTCTAATTGTATTATAATCCGGGTATACTTTATATTTTTTGTGATATAAAAATCTCAGAAATCTGTTTTGAATTTTTTCAAATCCATTTTTATGAACAATATAGGAAGGATGCCATACTACAGCCCCATATTCAAGTTTAGGTCTGATCAAACTATTACCTGCACCCTTTTGTAGTGGAACGGGATCATAAATATCGATACAAACCCATTTCTTGTTTTTTTTAACGGTTTCATTTAGATTGCCCTTGTTTGTTTGTTCATTTATTTATTTGTTTGGGTCAAATTTAGTAATTGAAGTTTGACCCCCTTCCTGTTGACAGACTGATCTGATTTTTGGTACACACATTGAGTTTTGATGACATTACAATTCAATAAATTCTGCATCATTGTAAATCCATAATGGCGGATTACATATTTTATCACAAATACCTCAAAACGGGCATCAAATGACAGGGCTGGATTAGTAGACTAGTAGTACACTTTGAAAAATATGCAAATTGGAAAATGTACTCAAAACTAAAAAATAATTCGGAACGTCTTATACCGTAGACTGCTGAGGGGAGTGGTGTGATGACTGCTGCCTAGGACTTTCTGAATAAGTCAGTTGATGGAAACTATAAAAAATCGTGAAACACGTCAACTTTGGTTTTCAGCAGGACACATTACTTTGGTTTCCCTTTATCAGCAGGTTAACCCTTTATCAGAAGCCACCTCTTCCCACCACAACCCTCATGTCAAAAATTTCAAGTGAAAATCATAGTCGCGTGAAATACTATTGTATCCAACCCTGTAACATGTTTGACATTATAATGATAAGTAATTTCACAAAAAAATTAAATACTCTTCTTTCAATTCCAAATTAGGTTAACCTGAACACACAATTTTACTATTTGAAATGTTGAAAGTCATTAGCACCAATAATATGAAATTCAAAGCAAGCAATGTAAATAAACATGGCAAAAATTTTCCAAGGTGATCGATATGGTAATTTGTTCACTGATAGTGATAATTGGTATATTGATTTAATAGTCATTTATCAGAGTATACATTTTAGTTATGGTTAAATTTTGTGAAAAAAGTCGATAAACAAAGATTTTTCCGAAAAGATTTTTGTGAAAGTAATATTACATTTTATTCTGAACTACCTATGATAATAGTAATCCTTCTGCTAATGAAACAAACACTTTTTTCTATATCCTGGTTTCTCTAAAAAAGAAACCACTATCTTATTTTTTGAACGACAGACAAATAATATCCAAATATCTCAAAATTTACAAAATCCATCCCAGTATTTGTGATGGAATCGACCAATACTTGAGAAAAATCCATAACGTATTTAAGAAACACTTTATTGTGAGATTAAACAGTTTTACAAAATCGCAACATGTGTTTCGCTATACAATGCCTTCTTCAATCGTGTTCATCCAAATATATCCAAGAGCAAATGGAGGGAGCAAGAATAAAATTGGGGTTATACGGTTATACTTAAGAATATGTGAACTATCTAAGATCTTCGAAATAAAAATCCATAAGCTCTCAAAGCATCACTAACTTTCGATATATTATGATGGAAGAAAAGACAAATTGTGATCAAAACAAACACAAAGACGTTTCATTGAATTGAGATGGACTTATGATGGATTTATGAATAATGAGTAATGAGAAGAAAATATATATATATAAGAATTACGGACAATAATTCTAGTTTTAGTTCATCAAAATTCATGAATTCCGTTTTTATTTTTCATTTATAGATTATTTTTTCATTCTTTAACAGAAATTTCTACAACTACCCCCTATTCCATGACATTTGCCAAATTCACCACAGAGTTGATACCAGAGAGTGAGTACAAAAAAAAACCAAGATTGCCTCTAATTTGGTGATGGCCTTACATTTCCCAAATAACCACCTGTACATAGTTACCTTTCTCTTCTTGTATGCTTGTTTTTCTCGCCTTTTCTTTTTTCTGTCTGCATCTTTCCTTCATTATTAGCCTATTGTTCTTTCTAAGAAAGTTTTTTTTGAAGGCACCACAAATAAATCGCATCCCAATGCTCCTGTCAGCGAACCATCTGATAATGGTATGATAGCAGGAATAACCATAGCCATTGGTATAACTGCCGTGACAATAGTTGGAGGGGTAAGTCTACAGAATATTTCAAACTGAACCATTCTAAAGCATAATTTTTGTAGGTTGTCTACTTGTTGTACAGACACCTAAGCAATCGTAACAGGACTTCTATGAACTTCGACAATCCGATTTACTGCAAAACGACAGAGGATCAGTTCACACTGCAGAAGAATGAATTGCAGAAGCAGAGACCATATCCTAGTATTGTCGGAGAAGAGGTAAGAGCTCTTACTTTGGATTATAGTAACATGACAGCAAGATAATCAGTCCAATAATAATTTTTTTCGCGTAATTGTCTGTACAAGTGACTTTTCATATTGTTTATATTGATGTAAATAACTATTTTTTTGGTTAATGTGTGAATGTATCGCTGTGCAGACAATTTACAAATTTGGCGTAATACAGTAATTTTTCCAATAGTGCAGTGTCAAATCTGTAAAAAACCAATCATTCCATGTGAATAAAAGAAGTGAAAGCCTTTACTCTACATCTCGATCATCATTTCACACACTAAATAAGTATTCAGATTCTGTCCAGAACACTTTGTTAAAATGGTTGTTCTGATTATTGAATTATTGGTGGAATGATGCCCTCTCTACTCTCGAATCCCAATATCATGCCAGCTAGCCACACTAAGGCAGAAGTATTGGAAGGACAAATGCAGAAAGCTGCCATTCTAGGCTCAGGGCACATGATTCTCGGACTCAATGTTCACTTACTTCACGGTATGGGGAGAGGTCATTGGTTAATAAAGCATGCCATCCGAATGTTTCATCGGGGCTTTTGTAAAGGACCCGACCAGCACAATCTTCAAGGTTAAAAATTATAATAGTAATGGGTTTTTATTCAACATGGCAAACTTCAGTTTACTTACTTAAGCACAAAAGTCGAAATCTTCTCAAATTGTAGCTTGAAATCTAAAATAACCAATGTCATGTATTCAATTAAAAAAGTTCATCTACGAAACAGTACATTCTATCTGAATTCTGTAAACATTGCCGTGTACTCTTAGCTGTTTTTTCTAGAAAATATGCATTTTGTTCAAAATTATAACACCTAACCTCGCCGAACCTAAAAATATAGATACTATAAAACATGTTAAGAGCTCAACATCATGCCAGTTTTCTATTTTCATAGAATGGAAACTTGGAACAATTATGAAATACAAATCAATTCAAAGAACTAAGATTATAAAAAAATAGGAAAGAAGAAAAAAAAAATCACATCAAAGGTGCTGCTTCGTTCCCTCTTGTTCATAAAAGAGGACATATGCCTCATCGCTCATAAGTGATTTTGGAGAAATTGGGAACACGTGTGATTCGTTGTATTCATGCCACATACCACTGCAATATGCTGTTTAAGGCCCGTTGTAAGTAGTCCCACTGTGATTTGAAGGTGCATATAGATTATAACGACAAGGAGCCACGTTGTCTGCTGCATAATTGCTCATATCTAAGTCATCTGAAGGAAAGTCAATGAAAACATTCAATTTGCCCCTGAGTCTTTCCGTTGGAGATAATCTTTTCAAATGAATTACTAAAATACAGGGAAACTTATAGATTGATAAGGACTTTGTACATTTTCTTCTTTACTTGCACCTCGAACACATTGGTTTTTCATCTCCATCCAGAGTTTCCTCTCTTATGAAGGAATCTAAGCAATGTGACAAATTCAATTGGCCAGTTATTTGTGGTATGGGAAGAGACAAATCCCAGAAAGGATCGAAGGTTACTGATGAGTGTCCACAGTGTGTGCACTGCATAGTGGATTTTAATTGACCAACGAAATATTTTTAATTCGTATTTTTCATTGCATTTACGTAAGAAATAGCCCAACAAAAGTTCAAAATATTCATGGTATTATGCTCAAGGAGGAGGCTACTTCAGAATTTTTCAGTAAGAGAATGACTGAAAAAAAAATCCATGCCAATAATGTTACGATTATTTTTGAAAAAGCTATAGAAATAGCACAACAGGGAAAATATTCATATTCGATTTGATTCACCATTTCATTCAAATGGGTAGAAAGTGTACCTTTCCCAAAAGCAAGGAAGCATCTTCACAAATCCTTCAAGAGAAAATTGCTGCACCAGGGAGATTTATAAGTAGTATTATGCTGAATATTGTTTATTGTCTGTACCATCTCATCTCGAAATGTGGTAGATACACGGTGTACTTCACAAATCAATTACAACTGCAAGTGTACTTTTGGTTTTAGTTTTGAAAATTATAAGACTTGAGATGTTACTTTTTAACTATAGGTGATTACACTCCTGTCCATCAGTATTAGCTTCATATTGGATTGCAATAATATTTTTGTAACCAATTTATAATACAAAGCTGTGCCAAACGTATCGTAGCCTGATATTGTATAAGCTCACATGTTAAATTCCTCATTTTAATGTATGTTTTGACTATTTGTAGATGAACTGTAGATGTGCTTTACATTTACTTGAGTGTTAAATGGTGTACAAATGTTCCTCACTCAAGATGAAAACTACTGAAATTATTCATTTTTTTGGCAAATAACGTGCAAACGTTTGAATGATATCATACTGTATAGACTACACCAAGCATATTTGTAATTTTGGAAAGCTGAATATTTTGTCAAACAGTAGTAATAGTTGAATTTTTGAAGATATAATTAGAATAGAATAAGAAATGAATTCAAATATGGATCTCGCGGAGCTCGCTTTAGTTCGAAATAGTTTCTGATTGTTATTGAAATAATTAAAGTGACTTTCAAGGAAGTTATTTGAACACATCTCTCTGTCGAACCATAAAGATACGGAAGCAAATATTTGAAGAAAAAATGATTATTTCTGATAGTTTTCATAGGAGTGATGTATACTGTGCTTGTAGGCTTAAGCAGCTACGTATAATGAAATAGTATCAGTTTAAGTATTGATAGTTTTCATATGGAAATTTTATAGGCAAGTGAAAGCAGGTATATTTTCGAAAATTTTGGAATTCATGATGAATTGTCATTTTCTGAATTTGAATTTATCTAACATCGTTCAGAAGATAGCTAGAGAGAGATAATGCACAGAAAAATGGTGTTTCAAAAGAAATGCAGTGAAAGTATCCAAAGAGATTCGAAATATATTGAAATATTTAGACAGGAATGTGATGGGCGTTATTAAAAACACATTCAGGGTTTTCACATAAACAGTTTATTGAACAGTATTACTACAGAAATATTTGTCTTATCTGCGAAGTATAATTGGTATTTCCAGATTTATTTCAAATACTAATTATATAATTTTGTAATTTCATTGTTTTCATGAGTTCTTAAAGCAGTTTGTTAAGTATGTATTAAACAAATCAAGTGTTTGAATCGAATTCCCCACAGAAGATACTCATTAATAACAATTTTTCTCCAATAATTTGAATTCCACTAGGCGTTGTGATGAGTCAACAAATAACTTTCTGAAAATGTTTCGCGATGAGAAGTTTTTAAACTCACATTGAATAATTAACTTTGAAACACACTGAGTTTTCGAATTCTTCAAATGAAAAAATGTGATTATAGCACTGGAAATGAAAGTTTTTGCACACCATTACAGCTAACCCCTTATTCTCATTTATTAGTGAACCTCAATATTTTAATCACTCCCCATATTCAATCTAATACATTTTCTGTTTCACGCGCACAAATTGTAAATTTGGTGAGTAGTTTTAGTTTTTATTTTATGTCGTGTTGCTTGTTTTAGTGGAGTGAATTTATTTTTTATTTCAATAAGAAAATAGCTACTTATTTTTGTTAAATATCATTATCATCCAGATCATTGAACAGTGATAGAAAATATTACTCTTTTGACTTCCATTAAGTGCTACAATTTAGGTAATTGTAGCCTAGTTTACTCTGGTTTAGTTAAATTTCGTCTGTATGGTAAGGGGCGGGAAATTATGTGTTAAATATCATTCATGAGAAAGCCTGGAAATTATATTTTTTGTTAACTCCAGCTGTACATCTCAAGTTTATCATTTTGATACAATTTTTCCATGCACCCTGTATCTCCCCAATAAATAATTCATTTTAAGATTATTGGAGAAATTGTATCTATTTTTTGTATCAGTTTGCATTTTTTGTTATCAATTAATCATGAAAAATAGCCTAGACTCGCTTTAGAAAAAATTGTAGTTCAAATTTACATTAAACTTCCACTATAGATAAACATAGTGAGACCTCGATATCATCATTTCGAAGGATATGTTCTGATGTTAGTCTTACAGTGTAGACCTGAATTATAGTAGGTTATGAGTCTCTCCAGTTTTTCAGTGCTAAGGTCTTTTTTACATAATCTCAATCTATGTGAGCCCTGATATACTGAGACTTCTGAAAAATTTTATTGGTATTAGTTATTTGATGTTACAGACCATCAGTATTAGTTAGCCCTTCAAGAGTTAATACCTTTGGGATTGACGATGAAACTGGGAATGCTGAAAGCAATGATTACTAGTTGTTTTCTCACACAAACATGTCATGATGAAATATTATATGTCGAAATTATACTTCTATCTCAATGAAACGTAACATGAAGAACCGATTTTTCATTGTCTCTAACAGTTGGTTGAGATGGTTTCTGTTTCGTGCGGGACTTTTGATGTCTCATCCAGCTTTTTGCAGTAACCATTGTGTTGAAGGTTTCTGATATGGCCCAATACGTTGCCGTTGTATGGTTTCCTACGATTCCTGCCTTGGTAGGTTGGTGGTGGTTGGATCGAGATACAGTTTCGTGCGAGTTGGTTTTCAGTATACGGATATTTTCCATTTGTTGTTGGTTCTCTTTACCATCACCATCACCTTTCTTCATTGTGAATGTTATAGAGAGTATCTTTAGTCCCAAACGTTTTCAGTGCCTTCAATGAGGCACTGTCTACCGTTAATTGTATATTTAAAGGTTTTGTAGGCAAAACTTATCATTTTTTCATTGTCTTACGGATAGTAAGACTTTCAGTTTGTCTATTGGATGTCTTCCAGTTTGTGATAGGGACAGTATAAGAGCATTTCAACCTTATCTAGTACAAATACCAAAGAAAGGTGGAAAAAATCTGTCTCATCCAGGAGACTTGTTGAGGTTTCAAGCTTTCATTGACAATAATTATTTGGTTTGGGAAGATTCTTCCCGCAGGGCTTTGTACTAGATTTATCTTGGCCCCTTGAAGCCCCTTCTAGTTGAGCACTTCACAGCTGTTTGTCGATATCAACCTTGTAGCTAGGAAAATGTGCCTCAAATAACAGTCTTTTTTTTTTGTCTGCTGGTATATCCTCCATTTTTGTCTTATCAGTCAGAAAGGATGTTTTTTCAGACATTTTTGAAGACATTGGGTTGGGGTTAGTTCAGAAATCCCCTCAGATGTATACCTCCAAAATCTCTGATTGGATCTTCTAACTTCCTTATTGTATACAGTTGACTTTTTTTGGGGTCTCAACATTGTTTGAAACTCCTGAAACCATATGAAGAGTTTTATCAGGTAACTCCTTGGCGAGTCATTAGACTTGATTTTATACGTTTAACCAGGTTTTAATTAATGGTACGTCTGTTTTAACGACTTATTTCTTTCAAAAGATTTGGTTTTATATTCTATGATATTTTGTGTCTGTCTGATAGCAGACACAATATTTATACATTCTCCCACTTGCTTTGTGAATTTTGGAGATTCATCAGATGAAATTTCTACTACCATCGTTCCCTTCTTCAGCCTACAGCTTCAAGACATAAATGCAATTTAATTCAGATTCATTCATTCATAATAGTTCCACGAAAAATGAGAGAACTATAAACATTCGAAACAGAGCCTCACAGGCCACAGAAAGGCATTTTGGAAACGAGCTCCAAGTACCCTGGTCTTTACTCAATTCTTGACTCATGCTATTCCATCATGTCTTAGGACGTGGAAACACAAGCTCCCATCTTCCATAAGCACACTCTCAGAAGATTTTTTATTCTCCATATTCTTAGAGAAATAATTGTATCAAGCAAGTTTCTCAGTTCAGAACCAAAATTTTGTGAATTGAAGGGGTTATATTTTTAGGAGTGATTAATTTTTGGGAAAGAACATTTTTGGCTTTCTACTACTCCATCTCGATACAAAAAAAAGATGAGGAAATCTTCCAAAGAAAGGAAGGAAGTAATCA